GCAATTAATAAGCTAATCATGATTTTCCATCAACAACTAGGTTAGTTGATAAGGGGGTTAGCTCCTGGTGTCAGCACGAGCCGGGATTGAACCATCCCAGCTTGTGGCGGCTCCGCAACCAATGCAGCTCTGCTTTTTAAATATATAGAGAACCTGGCAGCTCTTGCCACATTTAAAAAGCAGAGCCACAGCAGTCTGGGACCCAGCACGAGCTGGGACTGATCAGTCCCAGCTCACGCTGGGTCCCCTACTGCACCTCTGCCTCCTGACACCCCCGCTCCCCCCCTCCCCCAGAGATGGTGCTGGAGGAACAAACCAGCTTTTAAGCCAGCTCCCCTCAGCACAGGCTCGAGCTCCCCCCCGTGTTGTCTCTAATACAGAGGCGGGAAGGGGGAAGCGAGTAGTTGAGTAGTGACTTGGCTACCTAAGTCGACTACTGGACTAGTCACTTATATGCCTAATACTGAGCATATAGCTCACCACTATTAACAAGTCACAGTGCAAGCTTTCAGACCTTCAATGTCTCATCCCTAAGTTACCTCATCAATTGACTCATTATCTAAATTAAAAAAGAACACTATTTTAAGTCTATGGGCAGTTCCTTTTTCCAGTAATTGTTTACTGGATAGCACTTCCTTTTCCCTCCTCCATACTACCTTTGTTAAAGCTTCTCATTCGTTATATTACTAGGATTTCCCCTCTTTTGTAAGTTGTACCCTCATGCCCAGAAAGGGGACTTGGGGGAGGAAGGTGCATTCCATATAATAGGGGAAGTATTTAGACAATACTTGTGTTTCTCAGATGGTGTGTCATGACCTGCTACTCCTTCCTCAGAAAGCAGGAGGGGAAAGATCACAACAATAATCAGAGGGCTGAGAGGCACTGAAATTTGTATTACAGTTTTCATGACTTGAGAACAAGACATCCTTTATAACGGATATCTGTAGTGAAATTAAGTCAGACTGTAGTCTTAAAATTTCACTGTGCAACGGGATGCCAAATCATAGCTGTGACAAATACCCACTTTTATCTACAACCAATACCCAATTATTTAAGAAAAATTACCAGAGTACAATGACTAAATGAAAAATCTCCTGTGCACAAAAAATATTGTTACATGAAGTAGGGGACTCATAAGTAAAAGCAGGGACATAGTATTCAAGCAACAGTCTCTTTTGCCCTAAACTGTGGCAGAGAACTTTTTGGGCTTGGTGGCCACTGACC